GGGACTCGGGTTCGTCTTCCTCACTACTTTCAGCGCTGCTACCATTCCGTAGGTTATAAAAGTGTTCCCTCCACAATTTAAGTATATTTTGTCCATGCTAAGAGCATGTTCTCAGCATGAACAATGAACGCGTTGCTTTGGAAAACAGGATCTACAATTTGGTGAAGATTTTCTGTTAAGTGCCTAGATGTTTCAGTAGCTTTGAACACGTGCTTTCGACCGTCTGTAAAAGAACTGTAACACTTAAGTATGAACTTGATGATTTCTTTGAGTTCATTGGAAGGATTCACAGTTACAATTATACATATAATCTCAGACTTATTTGCAGTTGTCAGCCAGCGAGAAATGAAGATACTGGATCTGAAATAGATAAATCTGGAGGACATACTCCTGACTTTACATCTGAAGCGATATTCAGAAGATACCTCTGATCTTTAGAAAGATCCTTTTGAATTTCCTTATCAATAGAGATGATTTCACAATGAATGCTTTCAAACTGGGAAAGTTGTTACAGTGAAGGTGAAGACACTCACCAATAGGCCCAGAAAGAGATTAAGGACATGCAGTTGGATGAAAATGAAAGTTCATTAAAGTGTAATAAACAAATAATCTACTGAAGGGGTCGTTTGAGAACCATTTCGATATTTTGAGTAGCACCATTTTTTCCATCCAGTATTAGTAGCAATGCCATCACAGCCAATAGCATCTAAACTCTTAAACGAAATTTTCAATACCTTTAAATAAATAATGAATGATACTATCAGTAATATTTTTTCCAGAACTCGAGGTCGGAGTAATACGACTAATGTAGTTAGACCCTGTTCGTTGCATCATACATGGTTTCTGTGTTCACACGATCAAATAACGGGTTTTAATGTTCGTGACTCACGTATAAAAAGTTTTAAAAATTTTGTCTCAACTGGTCAAAAATCCATATATTTTAATCCAATGCGCGAGGGTTAAATATTAACTGATTTCAAAAATTCATTTTGCCCTCAATTTCTCTTCCTCCATGGCAACTATTTATCACTGGGCCATTTAAGGTTTTAGAGTTTTGGTACTTTCGGCCCAACCTAATATGTACATATCGTTACTTTAATACAGAGAGGCCCTTAAGTTATTCAATTGAGACTTTCTTCTTTACACTAGTTTTTAATAAATATAGAAACATATTTTTTTATGTGCGCTCTGTGAAATTTCAAAAGAAAATAAGTTAGGGCCTTTCTATATTAAGATAACGATGTGTATGTATATGTATGGTGAATTTTTATATTTTAAAAATTGCTGATTTTTCTTATTTTAGCTTTTCGTTTTTACAGCCAGTTTAACGAAAGCAATTTAAGAGAAAAATGTTTTTTATGTATTTAAATTTATTATGAAAACTGACAGAAGGAAAAAATAAATTTTCACTTGAATTGCTGGTGAAACCGGCAGTTAATGTATTTATGTACGTGTTTATGTTCTTGTATAAAAACTGTATATAAAAAACATTATATATTTGTCTGTACGTATACCGTGTGATTTATTAGTAAATGTATCCCTCTTTTTCCTCTGTTTACCGCTGTATTACCTATTGCTGTACGTGCGCTCGTTTTCTAAAACATTTCATGCCATGACGCCCAAAACAAATTTATGTAAATTTATAATTTAACAATGAAAATAATAATCACACGAAACGAAAAAAAGGATCGCGAATTTGTTGAGCTTGAAATACCATACAATGGTCAACCGAAGCGTACTGGCTCCCCATCGCCAATGGCTAGTCCTGCCCATTCAACAAACAGCGCCGTCGGTCTAATGCAATCATGTTGCGGTCGTTGCTGTTCCCAACGTTACCAGGTATAGTATGCAGTATCCTATTTAAATCCTTTGTGTTAATTTTTTTTATGTGTAAACATTCAGACCCTCGGCTGGTAGTTTTTTCATTTAATTTATTGTTTTTCAATTCATTCAATTATTACTTTTATTTTCATTTAATGTAATTGCTGTTGCTGTGGACAACTCTAAAAATTTAAATTAAGTAATAATAAAATTAATAATATGAAATAAAGTAAAATAAAATGTAGAAATCAAATAAAATAGCCGAGTGAAAAGAACGTAAATGTATACGAATATAATATAATTATAATTGTAGCGAGTGTGAATATGAGGAGCGTGCCTTCTCTTTTGCCCAAATAGGTTTTTTGATTGCATGAAAAAAGAAGGCATTCGCAACAATTATAATAAGGGTATTCATCAAACCTTATAAATGCATTGTAAACTGTATAAACTTATAATTGTGTAAACCTTATAAATGAACTGTCAAAATTTGTATGGAAACTCGTTTACACATTTCTCATAAATTTATCCAGCGATTTTACTGAATAAACTTGATAAACTGAAGACAATGCAACTCTGTCGCAAC